TCATGAATAAGAGAGAACCTGAGTAATTATATTAGGAAGCATGAATAGAGGAAACCGCAACACTGCAAATAGAGAAAGTGACGTAAATGCCCTAGATGGTGTCAAGTCTCCTCCAAGAACGGTGAACAATCCAAAAGCAGCCACAGTCACCAAAACAGGAATGCTATTCAATATAAAACCATTCAACTGCAAGAATAAATAAAATCATTAAAATACACAAATGGAGCAAAAAGTGCACTTGATTTTTGTTGTCGATAATTCTTTGGCATTGTTAAATTATACATACATGTATAGGCGGACAAAATACTCTTTTCACCAGTACAGAATGAAATCCATAGAGGAATCTCTCTCTCTTTTTTTTTTTTTTTTGAAAAAGTCAACAAAGCTTTTCATCTTCATTGATGTCACATAAGCTACGAAAGATATAAGAAACCAAGCCTAAAAAGAGCAGACTTTGGAAAGGGAAGACAGCAGAAGAGAAGACAAACAGAAACTAACAAAATAAAGAACGTGGTAGAATATAAAAAAATAAAGGACAGGAAACCCTCGAATGTTGAAACTACATTAAAGGCCCCTAATTGTTATATAGCACCAGCGAGAAACTTCAATTTTGATAAACTCAAAGTGATCCAACCACAAAGACAGATTATCCTACAGAATCAATTTTGAAACAACAAATACTCCAAAACCGATGCTGAAAAACCAATATGCACCCTTAAAATTGACAAATGTATGTCCATAATTCGTGAAAGGTTAATATGAGTTACATTGAAAAACCCATAAGATAGAGGAAGAAATGTTTTCCATCATCAAACTCCATAAAAGAAATTGAATCCATGCTTAATATCCTACAACACTTGTACCCAAAAAAATGGGTTACTCCTTTCATAGGTTAGGAAACAAACAGAAGATAACATCCAAGAAACAAATAATAACATACCGCCCCAAGAAGTGACGCCTTACGGAACCATGACAACTCATCATCTCGAATACTTTGTACTTTTGACTGAAAACTACTCTCCCATGCATAGCATCTGATACATTTCCAGCGTCAATAAATTTATCAGCAAGCTATGGATAATAAATACTAAGACTATTTTAACAGAAGGTTACTAGCAAGTCCACAATTAAGGCTTGACAATAAAGCTTAATAAGATTCTGAATTACATCAGTAAGCTTCAAGTGAAGACATTAAAAAAAAGAGTATTTTATTCTTATATTGCATACTTCACTGTGTCCATTGCAGCTAAAATCTCATTCATGAGACCAATTCTCTTGTCTGTACGTTGTAATCCCTCTTTGGATTGTTTCTGCAATCTGCTAATTACAAGTGTCTGTAGCCACAAAACATGATAACATAAATATTAGGTATTTCTAGTAAAGTGTAATGTAGCAAGATCCGCGAAACAATAACCAGTGGGTTCAACATCATTCAAAACCTACTGCCTTTTGTGTCAATGAAGTTGCATGAAGATACCAAATCATATGTGCAGAAATAAATTCATGCAAAACTTAATCGATTGCTAAAAAGGGGGACAGGGGACTAAATATTCATCCTGCACGGCTAAATGCATGTTGACATAAACTACGGTGAATGCAACAAATCAACTACCAACGGCAGAAGACAAACAAGCAAATATTGGCAAAATATATGGATGCCTCCTCCCAGATCCAAAAACATATTATCAATTTTTTATATAATGATGAGAAAAAAGACACTAAAGAAAAATTTAGCAGCAACTTCTTCAAACCTAAATTTAAAAAAAAAAAAAAACAAAAAACAAAAAAAAAAAAAGAGAAGGAATTGAATGAAAATTATTATGTTGAGCCCGGAGTAACAAAAGTACATGGTGAAATAGTTTCTTATGAAAGATATACTAGTAAAGCTATACTATTTCTATGAGATTAAAAAGTCAAATGATGAGATGTGGGATTTTGAAGTGAGAAAGATGCTTTGAGCATGATTTTGGAGGGTGGGGGGATATATGGTAGATATCAATAAGAGGATTATGAACGTGAATATCATAGGGTTTGTTGAAGAAAAATAAGGTAAATTTATTTGAAAAAAAGATAGTGAAAAATAATTAAGTTAAAGAGAATCCCATGTCTTTAATTTCTCACAGCCTTCATTTGGCTTATACATCAGATTACTTAATCTCATGAGCCTACAATTATTTAGCACACTAATAGTTCAGAAAAGCTCTCCAAAAATGGAATAACAGATTAAATCCATTGATTGTGTATAAGAGAAATAAAACCAAATTAAAATGGCGGAAATAGAAACGCCATCAAGCATTCAGATTATTAATGATTCCGATATCTGATGTGATGACTATGAGGAAGCATAAAGGAGCAGACTAAATTTAAATTCAAACCTCCAATTCTTACAGTTGCTTTAGAAACTACTTCAATATTAAGAATTGTTAGATATGTACCTGTATGGGAAACAAAAGAACTAGTAGCGATGCACCTAAAAGTGAAGAGACTCCCAACTGCTGGTAAAGAAGAACCATTGCAACCGTAATACGAAATGGAGCTGACCATAATGTATGAAGTGACTGGGTTACTTGCTGGATACCAAAACCAAAAAGCCCCACATAAAAAATCTACTGTAAGTTTTAGCATTTAATTAGAAAGATAAGAATTTATTTTAGAATTAGACTTTCATTCTATAAGACATGATCTTTGACAATGACATACAAAGCAGCACTAGATTTTAAAATCATAGAAAAAGAATACTGAGAGAACTTACAAATACATAAACAAGGCATATATATAGGGAAAAAGAAATAAAGTACCAAGATCTGACCATTCAAATTTAAAATCATATGGATTACCTTACCTCCCTATTGGTTTGTACATGAGCCTATAAATCAAATTTTGTGCCAATAATGTTTTTTTCCAAAATATTTTGGAGGTTGTCTATCTTTTCTCTCAACCCAGGATTACATTATGGGTTAGTAGTTTACTGCATCGTAATACTTATTCTCAAAACCCACGAAAGATAAACAAATATAGATCACAATAGTAGCAATGAACACCATGCAACAAAGCAATAAAAGACCAATATCTTCATTGGCATATCCACACATAATCATTAGTTGATCATTTTTCCTTTTTTATACTAATCTTAATTCGACTGAGTCTAGAAATCTCAATCCCCCCTTCAATTTTAACTCCAGTGAGCGACCCCAGGGGGTCCCTTGGGGATTTCAATCCCATGATCACATTGGTTAAGTCCATGATCGTCACAAACCCATAGGTGTAGAAATCATTGTTTATAAGCATTATTTTCTACAAATGCATTTTATGTTAAAATATGAAATTCCCACGGGGAAATGTGCCTAGAGACGAACAAAAGGAAGATATATGAACAAATAAAAAACAATATTGCATATGCATCACAAAAGACATGAAAATTTGAAAGTGCCTGAAGTGTCTCAGCATCAGTAGTCATCAAATTTGTTATCTTTCCAGTAGCAAACTTCTTGCGAGCCTCATGGGTTAACCTTAGAGATTTGCGAAAAACGGCAGCAACCTAAAAATGGATAAAAACATACCTGTATAAGAATAACCTTTTTTTAAAGTACCTTTGTGCCTTGGATAACAACTAAAATGATATATATAAGCACAAAGAACCAATATGGGAGACTAATTTATCTTTATAGCAGTTAATGAAACAGCCAAAAGCCAAAATAAAATAAAATAAAAATTGAATGTTAGGTCATGATGGTGAATAGGACTAAAAAGCAAACATATGGATATCTTCAAAAATAAATACACCCACGGTACTTCTCTGAGGCAGAACATTGAATTTTAGATAAGAATTTATTTTGTAACTAGATATTAAATGTGTGCGTATTTTGGAGAGCAAGAGACTCAAATGAAACTTATAACTTGGCAAACTTTTTTTTTTTTTTTTCTCCTTTTTTATAAGAAATGATTTCATTGATGGAATGAAATTAGAAGAAAAGAAAAAAAGAAAAAAGAAAAAAGAAAAAGGGAAAGGCCCCAATCCAAGAGAGCTACAAAGAACCTCTCCAACTGGATATCATAGAATAAAAGCTACAGTGGTGAAAAGAGAGGAACATTTTCACCAAGATATAACCAAAAAACTGTAGAATCAAATAACTGTTCAAAAGTGAGCTCCTTTTTTTTATGGAATATTCTTTAGTTCCTTTCTGTCCAAAGCCCAGAGAAATGCCCCCACCAAGTGCGTTCATAGGATGTTTTCTTTCCAAAAAGGGTATCCCACCAAAGTGTAGGAAAGAAGAAGATGCAGATCAATCAGTAGAATTGTGGTCCATCCAATATATGAGAGAACCGCTCTCCCAAAAGGTTTGGGCTTGGGCAAAGATATGGCTCTGAGATTCAATGTTTTTGCAAATGGTGCACCAGTGGGGAGAAACAGTCATGTAAAGCAGCCTGAGTTGGAGTTTGTCATGAGTATGGGTGGTTTTATGATCTGCTTGACTTAGAAGGTATTCAAAGCCAGTGGCCACTTTACCAAAGCGTTCATACCAAGCTCTTGAAGACTACTTGAGACCATATAACAAACTATACTATTACCAACTTCCATTTCAAATCTTGGTGATAGTCTTATAAATATATCTTCTTTTAAATCACCATTGAGTAAAGCATTCTTAACATCTAGTTGATGAACTGATCAATCAAAATTCAGTGCAAGAGACTGAAGAATTCTGATGGTGCTCGTTTTTGCAGCGGGAGCAAATGTCTCTTGATAGTCAGTTCCATGGGTTTGAGTAAATCCTTTAGCTACTAATTCGGCTTTATATCTTTCAACACTACCGTCAACATTACACTTAACTGTAAACACACACTTGCATCCCTTAGTCTTTTTATCTTTTGGCAAGTTTGTTATTTCCCCAAGTACCACTTTGTCTTGGAGCATTTATTTCTTCCATGACTACTAGCTTCCAATTTGGATCATCTAGAGCTTCTAGAACACAAACGTTGAACGCTCGAACCAGTCCTCTAGTGAACGTGAATGCTTGAAACAATGGAGAATATAATGAAGACGAATGGTTGAACAAATATGGTTGAAGCCAGAGACACCAACGCTAGAAGTAGGGTGCACCAATCAAAGGTGGTGGCTAGGGTTTTGGTGGCAATGGCTAGGGTCTTTAGAGTTTTAGAGACGACTAAAGTTTTCTGTCTCTGATATCATCTTGAAGTTAGGGAAGAAGAATAATATTATTGTGTTTCTTCTTATACATCTAAAACAAGTATAATGTCATCTTCTATAGGAGAAAGACCATCAACCAATAAAGAAAAAAATATTGAAAATATAAATAAGAAATATATGCATAATACGCCATCAACATTACAAAAGATATAAAAGGAACTCCAATATATATCCTTCCATGGACCTTTGGCATTGGAGGAGGAGGAGAAACCCCAGGGCCTAAGCATTGGTGAGAGGTCATATTTTGCATAGATGGACCTTCTCCAAAGGGCGTCTTTTCATTTTGGTATCTCCATAGCCATTTAATTAGGAAGGCTTTGTTCTTATCTGCGAGGCCATGAAGGCCCAACCCTCTACTCTCCAATGCAAGGAGAACTCTCCCATTTTACCAAATGAAGGCCTGATCTTTCGGTGATGCATTTCTATGTAAAGCTTCTCACTATTTTCTCAAGAGACCAAATCACTTTGGAAGGCATGGAAAAAAGAAAGATAAAATTATTTTAAATGCTGAACGTTGAAGGATTCATTTTAAATGCTAAACTACAATTTTAGAAAGAAAGAAACATAACGTTGATTGCAAGGACTTAAAAAGTTCACTTGGGCAAAATATCATCCACTCAAATGTCAAAATATCATCACGGCAGCATTTCACATTGGTAATAACTGAGCATAAGAAATAAAACGTAAGGGAGAAAATTACCAAGGTTGACCTCAGTCGATAACCAGTACGCATCACATTTTGAAAATACTGTGCTTCACATAGCACTCCAAAGATCTGTATCGAAAGTGAAAACCCATTAGATGTGTACTATGTGTGTAATCAAACTGCAGTCACACAACTCATGCCCAAAATGAGCATATTGAAGACAAATATGACAGGAGTAGAAAAATTACATGCTCTAACCTTAGATCAAACTAGAAACTAATACCAATATTCGGTATATTTAAGAATGTACAAGCTGGGTTTTCTTACATCGGAAAGACTCGTTACAAACAATAAAACAGAAATAACGATAACACAATTATAAAATTTTAAAACTATAATTATGGTCAATATTTACAGTTTAAAAAAAAAAGATAGCCAATTATATAATATTGAAAACTAATATTTATTGTCAATATTCACAATAATAAAATACAACCAACAAATCTGCTTTCGGCATATTAACAAATTAACAATTTTATAAGATGCATTATACCATATTTTGACGTCATGATGAATGCATGTTAATATCTTGGACCAACCTACTTATTGACAGGCATTGATTTGACAAATTAAAGCAGGAATTTGGGTCATACCACTCCGGCAAATATTGAGAAAGCATAAAGGTAACCAATTCGAGATGGATCTCCACGCTGCATGGACTGCAAGCATTCGAAAGAAATATGAGAACATCTACATGGATAGAATTAAATAGGAAAATTTTCTTAAAGGTGTTCATAAAGTTAAAAACATTCATGGTAATGTAAATTCCCTAATAAATACACTTTTTAACTCAGATTATGTGCTAAGTGCTAACAAGATAACAATGTACGTATCAGGTAATAAGACTTTCCAATAACCAATTATTTGTTCATATGTGATTTTCTTCTTCTTCCGTTCTTTTTTTTTTTTTTTTTTTTTTACGTGAAAAGGATAAAACATTCAAGATACCAACTCTGAAAGGATGAAAAAAGGGCAAATGCGAAATCAACAAAAACAGAGTAACTTAAGAAAAGCTAAATAAGGCACACCAATTAATACAAATACCACTAAGGGAATAACAATCAAAGAAATTAGAAAAGGAACATTGAGAAGCCTCAAACTTGAAAATATTGAAACACTCCAACCAAGGTTTACTCATCTTAAAAAATTTGATGCTTCCGCTTAAACCATAATTCATATAAGTTGAATTAAATTGGTTTTCAAATCAACAAAAATAGGCTAAAGTTTCCTGCTTTTTTAAGCTTGTATAGTTAACACTTAATGGGACGAAGAACCATCCAAGAAGGGACTATTTTCCTTTTATATCTATGAGCGTAGAGTCCAGCTTTCACACACCAAATTGATTTCACAGAACATCCCCATGATCCTTCAATATTTGGTTGCCGGGAGAATTCGTAGATGTTAAGTTATAGGTAGATGACTACCATCGCTTAAACTCATTCCCCCTTAAGCCCTTTATTATTTACATTGACCCTTATCAACTACTAAACTAATTCACTGTGGTTCATCTAAGAATGCCTATTGCCTAAAGCATATTTCATATTATTCACTTGCAATCGATCAAGTACAGAAGATTATCCGTTTACATAATTCTTTTCATAGAAAACCGAACTATGATGGAAATATATATTTTAGGTTTAAATCTCTCTTCTCATTTATTGTTTCAGCAACACGAGAGTGGAGGATTCGAACCTCTTACATCTTGAACAAAGATATATGTTTTAACCAATTGAGCTATGGTCAAGCTGACTGATTGACCTAAATCTCATTTTGGTTCCTAAACTTTCAAGTTTATTCTATTTTGATCCCTTAACTTTTAAAATGCACATTTTGGTCCTTGAATTGTTTCATTTTGATTACTGAATTTCAAAATCTCTATTTTACTTCCGAAGTTTCAAAAAATAATTGTTTATATACATGCTCACATTAACACAAAAATACACAAACTCAAGCTATGCAATCAATTTGTTAAAAGTAAAATAAAGGTACGGACCAAAAAAGTCTAATAGAGTTGGCTAGAAAATAAAGTCATTTTATTCTTTTACATGCTTGCATAGCAAAGCATCTCCATTGACTGCCTTTGTTTTAGATTCTTCATGTTTGGTGCAATGTAGCATCAAAACTTCTAGGAGGATAACTTGTCCACATTTCTTCAGCAACCTTTCCCACCCAACGTGGTAAAAAAAGAAAATGTTTATTTTCTTTAAATTAACCTATTAAAAGATGCTGCCAATTGTAGCTTATCTTTCACTAAAAAATTAATGCGGAATAAGTCTAACTCATTCCTAAAAGGATGAGGTAGAAAGTCAAAACATAGGCGAGCCTGATATGCTTTCAAAGCTTTCAACTAATCAGTATTCCTACACAGTGCTCCAAAAACTACCAAGTTCACAAGTCACAAGTCAAACTACCAAGTAAATGTATAATGGTGAAGCAGAAGTATAGTACACCAGACAAAAAAGGCCACCAACCTCGAGAAGTTTATTCAAGATGACAGGCCCCACAAATTGAGACAGATCATTGCCAATCTACAAGTCCCACAACATGTTAGTCAAACAGAAAGTAAAAAAATAACACAAAAACACAAGAATTGAACTCAATTTTGCCTGTAAAATAGCCTCTTCAATACTATCCATCCTTTTTTCTTAAGATGGAAAACATGCTCCCTTCAATATTTGGGATGGAAGTATAACGTTTCTTTAAGCTAAACCAATAAACAATGACAATAACAATTACTAAGGCTAAAAAATTATTCAGATATTGGGAGTATTATGACATCTACAAATTTGATAACCAAATATTTGTTCATAAATGGATACGTTCCCAAAAGAAGTTCCTCTAAATATGCAAGTAAATTCAAGAGGAAGATCATATTACCTTCCAAAAGCCACCCAGCCAAAACCTATTGAATGGGAAAAAGAGAAGAAAATTAACAAAAACAATGCAAAGAATAAGAAGCAAAACCAGTTGTATTCAATCACATACTAAAAGGAAGTAGCACATATCCAGCACTTCACATAATACATTTTCATTAAAAATCTAACCACAGTTAATTTTGCTTAAAGATTTTTTTTGAAAAATTGTATTTTTTGTTTTTACCTCTAATAGTGCATTATATTTGGAAGCATTGATGTGCCTAAAAGGATCTCTAATCAGCACTGTTTTAGATAGGCAAATTTTTTAAAGGGAAAAATTCAATTTATACCCCTAAAATTGGGGGTTTTATATATAAAAACTCTAAATTAACAATTGTACCAACAAGAAACCATTTTTCACTCACGTTCTACTTACCTTCCTCCAAGGCTGCCATTTAATGATCTAAGAAGCCACGGTTTGGATTTTTGAGACTCGTCCGCCCAAGCTTTCTGGAAGCTACAAATAACAGTAAATAAGCTCCAAAAAGAAGTGCAAGAAACAGCAGAAATAATGTTGTGAGAGAGAGAGAGAGAGAGAGAGACTTATTGTATAATGTTTCAGTTCGATCCCACAAATCCAATTTCCATACATCCTTCTCCGTGAGTGGCCTTTTGTATCCTAACTTCATTATGTAATCCATCCACCCAAAAGTAATTTCTAGTATAAAGTAACCACAATTAGAACGGCAATACATATTTAAGAAGAACAAAACAAATTGTTGGACGAGTGTTCAGTTCATTCTTTAGCAAACTGATTGGGTTGCCAAAACTCAAGCTAAAAAGTAAAAATAACTAAGAGTGAATTAATAGGAGGTATATATCTGCCAAGGTTAAGAAAAATATATCAAATTAATCTATCTAATACAAAGGGTATTAAAAAAAACTCAGGTGGGATGGAATTTTAAGTTCACTAGATAATAATACCCTGAATTTTTAAAAGTGAAAACTTGTAAAACAAAGGATATTAAATGTATGTTTGAAAACACAGGACAAAATCTATGAAGTAAACAAGTCCTTCAGGACATATTAGGTAAAAATTTTAAAATTTAAGAACCTATTAAACATTTTCTAAATTTTGAAGTCCTATCACACACAGCCCATATGTGTGTATGTGATGTTGGCATGTAAAAAAAAAAAAATCCTTCCTAAGAAAGTTTCTAGCTCCACCCTAGCCAGTACCTTTTAGACACTCACCTTCCCCCATTATTTTAACTCCCCCCACTATTGACAATAGTTCATAACATCCATACATCGTTTACGTCTTAGATAATACAAAACAACTTTTATATCCTCCGAATCCATATCACAAAAAGTAATGGCATGGGATTTTATGAAAGCAATACTTACTTGAAAATAAATTTGCATGCTGCTCGGGGCATATACGTTCCCCTTCAGGGAGTTCTTCATATTCATCATCAACATATTCACTATTAAGAGGGGTGTGACCAGGAAAAGGAACCAAGCTAGGCACATATGCGACCAAGAGAACGCCAAATAAAACCTACAGCGAGAATAAAATCTCAGAAGAAAGCTCACAAGGTGAAATGAAAAATTAACATAGGTTATATTTAATATTACAGGTATTTTATAATTATTTAAAAGTATATTGGTAAACGCTTTGACTGTAGCACATACCAAAACAACTCATCAAACTAGTCATAAGAGATCCTCATATTCTCCTCCAACAATAAATTGCAAAATAATGCAGATACTGTATAAGAGATGAGAGACAGAAATAAACCAACCTGGACAAAGACTTCGCTGATGTACCAATATAGGACATCTCTGAAAAGACAGAAATAGAACTCATTAATCAGTGATTCAGTTTTATGCCCAAATGCATGCTCAAAAAACTGGTCAAACTTTTACATTTAAATTCCAATTCTCTTTACTTGCAAATGAAACTAATTTAATAATCATAAGGTCGTTAGATTATCACAGCCACAACGATTTCATTCTAGTTGATATTTGCTCTACATTTCTAAACTCAAAAGATGGATGTCATATTTCCCAATTATGTAAGATTTACATACAGTTGAATTTCCTCCTAATATCTTAATCTCTTTTATTTTCTTTACTTCTCTTTTTGTTATGACAGACAAAATAATATATTGAATGCAATTTTTAATAATTTCTGCATCTTCCACACTGTATTTTTAACTTTGACAACTAATAATTCAAAGAAAGAACAGCAGGAACAACAATAAGATGGCATCCAGCTATTGTAGCTAATTATAAGATTAAAATAGAAAATACCTCTCGTAAAAGTCCTTCACGGATAAAATTAGACTGAGCATTGCAGCATCTGCTACTAATGTATAAACAACTCCAAACCTGACAATCCATCGAAATTCAGAAATATAAACTTTGGTTTCGACGACAAGCATTACAAGCATCGAGCACCAAGCAAGAGCCTGAATTATCAGGGCAACCACCTGAAACAAAATGGCATACGAATGAACTCATTGATCCAAACACCCAATATGTCCAATGATAGACAAAATTCTTCTGCTCGGCTATACATCAAGAACTTAAATGGACGATATCTCAATCTTTCTTACCCTGAAATCTTCTTCGGACTAAATCCTCATTCTTATGATAGCCCACATATCATATATATCTAACATAATCTCATATAATTTTAGCTTTTTAAATAATATTGTGGACCAAAAAAGGCTACAATTTTTTTTATTTTGACTTTTCTCATGTAAAAGATCAAAATAGTTTTTTACTTTTCTCATGTAAACACATTTCCAATTGCAAACTGTGAATACTCTAAATTCGGTAAAGAAATGCTACTTAGAAAAAAAAAATTAATATCTTAAGAAAACTCTACCTCAAATGGAGCAAGTGCACCCTGGCCATCTAAATTCAGGACTGAAATTCCCCTGATCAATCTGTATAAAGGCTCAAATACACAGTACGCAGCCAATAAACACAGAACGTAGTTGTATATCTTTGACTTCAAACAAAATCTCTGTGCTTTAAAATCCTTCTTGATCAGCCATATTCTGTTGATACATAAACCTAGAATGACCAGATGAGAAATAACAATAACCACAGAGTCAATGGCGCATGGTGTGTAAGCTCCAAGAGCATTCTCCACTGCCTTCGTCCACACACCACCAGCAACTGGTCGACAATACCAAACAAACGGCTCAAAAGCCATTCTTGATTTACTTTTTACTTTCCTACTGCAAGCACATAATCCACCTCTGCTGCTTCCTTAACCTGGCGTTGTCACCTGCCACGAGGACGACCCTATACATGAATAATCAATGAAAATTAGCCTTACACAGAAAATCTAGTCGGTCTTCAAATTTTGTCTTCTAAGCAGAATAATTCTGCTAATTGCAACCGGAAATTGATAGCTGCATGAGCTCACCATCTTCGAAACGATCATTTATTGTCAAGATTATTCGGTAAGCAATCACTGATCAAATTATGGATACCGTGTGAAAGAAAAAAATATTAGCACGTCGCTCCAATTGCGACACAAAACCAAACAGAAAAGTTCAAGAACCTTAAACAAAGAACTAAAACTCATGGCCGTATAATGCATTTTCACCAATCTCCAATTAGAGTAATCATATAAGCGAAGATACAATCCAAAAGGCAACAACATTGAGTCGAAAAAAATATCGAAACTAATTATCTCAGGTAATCCAAGATAAAACAGAACTTTTCTCGATAATCCAAGATAAAACAGAACCAGAATGACATCCATATAACTAAGAACCTGAAAATCAACCTCCAAGTATGAACGACGGAGAGAGGAGGCAGGGAAGAAACGAACAGAAAACAAGAGTTTATCCGGTAGATGGCGAATCAATGACCGAATCTCCCGGAAAAGTTGAAGAACAGACAGGACAAGGCGCCAAAAATCGATCTGGAGGCCGGAAGTTGAGAAATCCAGCTACAGAACCAAAATCAGAGCCTGAAGCAGCAGAAATCCGTGGCCACCATCAGATTCCTTTTATGAACACGGAGCTGTATGCAATATACAGATAAGAGGAACAGTTCAACCCGCGGGATGAACGGTGTCAAATCGATTGGAATCTAAATTACATAATAAAAAATGATAATCTTCTTATTTTTTTTTTTCATTAAAAATATAAATCAACCAGTTTTCCAATGCATTGGATCTTGACTACAAATATAATTTGTGATCACAAATATTAAAAATATCACATATAATTGAACTGTAATTTATTTTCGTAACTCTATAAAATACAAATACATTAATTTATTTTACATGAAAATGACAGCTAATTATTTAACCCGCCTCCATCAAAATTAATTTTAAGGTTTATTAAAACTAAAATATTATTTTTTTTAGAATTATTATTATTATCATTTTTAACATTTCGTAACTGTGCAGTGCCGGGTGGGGGGCGCAGAAACTAAGCTCAAATGCATCATTGCTTACGATACTCCTCTTATTACTTTATGATTATTTTATTTTTATTATTTTATTATTGGAAGTCATCATTATTTACTTTTCCAAATTTGTAAATAATATAATATGTTTTTTTTTTATCTATTTCAACTCTTCTCCAATTTTTAGCTTCACCCTCGTTGACGACTAGTGGTGCGTGCATCATTGCTTGCGCCTTTTTATTTGTATTGATAGACAAAGATTATTATTTAATATATATATAAAAGAATTTTTTGGTAAATTAACTGGACAGTGAAATTCTAATTTTTTCTAAATTATAAATGTTTGGAAGACCCATGGAAAAATAAACAAATAACATAATATTCTCTTACGTTATTTATTGTGGATTTGGTAGAAAGAAGTGACCATTATTTATTTTTTTAATAAATATTTAGAGTTATCTATAATTATATTTATATATTCCATTTTGAAAGAAAACAGTTTGTTTTTTATATATAATTTATTCATACGAGGTACGTGGGACCCGTGAGAATAGTCCATGTCAGTCACGTGACTCGGAAACCAGATGGAACGTGTTTGGCGTTTAAAGTGTGTTTGGGCCGTTGGATCTTACTATAGAGTATCCAATCTCGTGTTTTTATTTAAAAAATAAACCTCAAAAAACACTTTTAAATTCTTTAAAATTTAAAAAAATATTATTAGTATTAGAGTTAGTATTAGAGATGGGTTTTTTTTATTTAAATTGTATACTTTGTTGAAAATAATTTATTAATTTGAGTGGATTATGATCACAAAATGAAGATTTGGCATGGATGGTTGTACAGCTACAGGCAAGCAAGTTCGATAGGATTTTGTCCTTTGTTTCAGCACTTTCCCATTGTCGTGGGCTGACGCCACTTTATTCTTTTGCCTTATAACAATAATGATAATAATAATAATAATAATAATCTAGCTAATCAAGAGTGACTTCTTGTTGTTTCTTTTTTTTTTTAAAAATAGTATATTTCTTGATTAATTATATTTAATTGGACCATTTTTCATATTTCTAATACATCATTTGCACTCATTTTACTATAATTAATAAAATCAAATTAGCTACTACATTTAAACCAAGCGTACAATCAATACTAAAAAACTTAATTATTCCGCTGCAATAAAGAATTAAAACGGATGCAATTAAGTACGGAAATGGTATATTGACTAATAATATATTAATTAATTTAATGTAAGCATTTATTTGTAATCATGATAATTAATTGGTTATTTATTATCAAATAAATATAATTAATATTAGACCTCTTATTTGTAGGGTTTCATTGTTAGTAATTTGTATGGATGGGTGTGTGTATGCGACTAAAGAGGGAAGGGCAGTATTGTCTTTTAAACCACCATCAGCAGAGCCGAGAGCGGAAGGAAAAAGGGCAATGTTGTCATTACGATGACATAAAAAATGAGAGCATCTTGAGCTAGATTTGAGTGGGAGAGCAGCAGCGGGCATAGATATTAACTGAGAAAGAAAGCTAAGATATGCGCTACTACTACTACTGCTAACAACTTCAAGCATTACAACACAACCATGAGAGAGAGATTAAAACCTTTTTCTCCTTCCTTCTGAGGAGGAGCACAGATGTGTGTTCTTTGTGACCTTACGCATTCAAGGGCTCCATCTCTGCATCCTTTTCCCGGAAACTAGGCCTGCTTTCTATCTCTGCCATACACACACCAGGTATGGATAATGTCATTCCACTTGTTAGACGATCCACAATGGTATGATATTGTTCACTTTCAGCATAACATGTGTGCTCCTCTTCAAAGACACAGAACATGATATTGTTCTCTAAAAGCCATGAGACGACGCACGCAAGCCTCAAAGGCACAGAATCCAACCAACTGGATGCAGCCTGAAAAAGAGATGCTCCCACCTTTCAGTAGGGATGGTTCTACCAAGAACTGTTTCAGAATCCAGCAAAAGCAGAAAGAGAGAATGATAAATTGGAAGGAAGCTTAATGATCCTTGAAAATATAATGGGGGGGTAAGACATGGAACAAACTTACACTTGTAACTATTGGGAGAACAAGAGATGCAGCTGAGACAACGAAAACAATCTGCATATAGTTCTCCACTCTTAATGATGCGCGGGCCAGTAACCTAGATGCTAGGGAACTTCCTAACATAGAAGCTAACATGAATGTTGCAAAGATGAAGCCATGGGGAATTTCCTCATTATTGGGGCTCAGAGCAGGAGTCCAAAGGAAGACGAAGGTATACATTGAACCTTCAAACAGGGACTGAATAGCACCAAGGAGGGCAATTTTCTCATCTGATCAACAGCGGAGACATACTAAATAAAGATGGTGTAATAATGGGGCAAAATCCCTTCAACCAAATATAAGACTTCATGAAACTATATGATCCACGACCAAGACGAATTGACTGGACAAGAAAATAGATCATGTGCCCCAAAACAACTACTAGAACATCTATATGGAAATAAATACTGTGTCAAAAGGTTCATATAGTGAAATCTATTCATTTTCCTGAACTTAAAGAAAAAAAACGCAGTCAGGACTCTACCAGAAGCAATGGCCACTGCTGCACCCCTGAATTGGGTGAGAAGGTCTTTGTTTTCAGATGGATCTCCATAGTTCTCTGTCCACGAAGATAAGATGATGATCACACCAAGGGCAAGAAAGCAAGAAGCCGCATCAAAAGGCGCTACCGCCCCAAGATCCAAGGAGTGAACTAGTACGTTCCCAAAAAGCCCAGATAAAATGGCAATAAGACCATTGCCAAGAAATATTGCCTTTGAGAAAGTAACTGATAGCCATTGTTGCTCAAAGCCCCTCTGTTGAGAACAACAACAAGACTTTCAAGATATATACTAACAGCAATAAACGGTCATTAGCTTTTGAGAACACCATCGTTAAGAAAGTCCATATTGACATGACCAAACACAAAGTCTCAATTGGTAAAACAAAATTAAAAGCAGAGGCGTAAATCTTGTTGTGTTCAGCAACAATGAGTTACCTTGTTATGTTCAGCAATAAGCCACGACTCGAATGCAGAAAAGAGGAGAGAAGTGGCAATGCCTCCCAAAATGCGGCCCAACATCAAAATTCTATATTGGGGTGAATGCTTTGTGATGCAACTCAGTATATAAGTGACACAATACGTCACACAAGCTCTCTTTCGACCTCTGCATGAACAAGCATGGAAACAATACTAATATTCCTTTTCCTTTGAAAAAGCATGTTGATTAAACAACAGAGCTCAAAAGCGAAGAATTACTGTTTATCGGCAAGTGATCCGACAATTGTCCCAAACAACATAGAGGAGCCAAAACCAGCTATAAAAAGCTGTCCAATCTCCCCTTTTCCAAAGCCATATTGACTGAAAGATAGTACACATAAGGGCCCTGCAACCAATCCCCAGCTATTGCCAGAAAAAGCATGGATATGCATCAGAACTTTACCGGCCAAGAAGTTAAAAACAATTAGGACCAAAATTTGATGGGAATAGTTTATTCTTTCTGTGATTATGAGAAACTATAGCTAATTGTATTTGTAGGTGAACTTCTTACCGAAAATGTTTACGAAGGAAATCAAAACTAACTAATCAAATTTCTGAATAATGTCTAATAACACAAAAAGGTTGGTGCCCAAAAGGCTTTGAGGAAGAACAAAGTGGGGTATAATTTTTGTCCATTTAAACAAAGGTTGCAGACAACAAACAAAACAAGAATGCGGACGTCGAGTGGGATTAAGATTGAGAACAATTATATATGAAAGCGACCACGCCCATTACTAAAACAATTATATATGAAAAAAATTGAGAACAGATTAAATCCAAATAGCATACACGATCCAATCATCCAGTCTAAAAAAACGGAAGAAACTAGTCGGATCCACGACAAATCCGAGAAACATAAACACGGATACGGTCGGCGAGAATAAACAAACAAAACAAGAATGCGGACGTCGAGTGGGATTAAGATTGAGATCTAAAGCGGAAGAAGAGAAAGAAATTGGTGAACGTACCCATCATGAGAGAGTAAACAAGAAGGTAATTGTTCTTGAATGAATTGAAAGCGGTGGTGGCGTTGATCCTGTCCCTATTGGTTTTACTCAGCTCGATGGCTGCAACAATGACACCCAGTGCCCCAAAAACGAGATAGAAGAAGATCTCCATTGTCGAAGAGAGATCAGAAAAGCATCAGAGCTCGAAATTTGTTGTGTCTTTATACCGAATCAAATTGTTAAACGACGAATGGAGCGCGAAGTTTGGAGTGGAGGAAGAAAGCGGGTATAAATTGGTTTAAATCTCCGCCTTCTCCATTCGCCGCATATATACATATATATACATATATATTTATATATATAACTTTCTCCATTACCAACAAAATTGGGAGCTCAATCTAATAATATATATATATATATATATATACTCAATAAAGAAGCATACAGATTTTTTTAAAAGTTATTTTTAATTCAAACAAAGAAAACAGATAACTTTTAGAGAGAACCAATGCCCTTAAGGCCAAGAACGACACCGACGCCAATGATGTGGCCGACGACGCCGCACGCCAAAGTATCAGCGAGGGTGAAACCCGCTGGGTCACCCGTCTGTAACCCGGAGTCCCTCACCTCCAGCTTCAGCCCCGCCGTTGATTTCCTGTTCGCCGACGGAGCCAATCCGAACCGTCCAGCGAATAGCATCAGGCTTGTCGACGTCACCATTATCTACGCCACGTGTACACATATCATTCGTCTTTTTTTACGCCATATATTTTTCACACCCAATTTCTATGAGTGGTATGATATGGTCACTTTAAACATAAACTTTTATAGCTTTACTTTGAATTTTCATAAAACCTTATAATAAGGATCGTATTCTATAATTATAAACTCATAATCATTTTTTTTTTTTTTTTGTAGGACTTTTATCCAACCATTCCTGACTATTTTTTTAAAACAAAATTTAAACACTCTTACTCAAATTATAAAAGTGAACGACAAAATTCAATAGTGTGGAAATTGAGAGTGATTACCAAATTAGTGGGTGAGCCAATGAAATCGCAGCGGGCACTGAGAGCGCCGCCGCCGCTCCGCTTCAAGGGCTGCACCGCCACCTGCAAAATCAAACACATTTCAGCTCTTTCCGATGACAGAGAATAAGAATGCCGACGGATACGGCGGCGAAGGCGACGGCGACGTGGACATACCAGGCTGCGAACCGGAGCCCCCACTGGAACAGCTGGCCTCAGCCCACAAAACTGAGGGATCGAAGTCATCATTGTAGCTGCCATTTTCTTGCTGCTATAACCACTGAATTTATTTTTAATTTATTTCTTGTGTGTTTGTTGGTTTGTTAAAAGCATATATGGGTTTATGAGAAGGAAAGAGAGAGAGTGTACTAATTCGACTATCCACTCAGCCACGTGGACTAAATTTGCGCCCTCTGATTGGTGGATTTGGATACAGCTTGTTAGCTTTAGATCCTGCTTGCTTACGTGGCCCCGTTCTATTGGATATCTCTCAACGGATAAGGCTTTGGGTTGGGGGGCATGTAGGCCAGGCGTTGCTGGGCCTGGAAATTCTCTGGGCTGCTCGATTTTGTTCATTCTTAAGCCCATTAATGTTTATTGGGCCTGGTCGGCCCTCGCAGATTTTTTGGTCTCTTATATTTACTTGAATACGCCGCGTTTCGTTTAATCTAAGCAAATTTCGCTCCTTTTTCAGAAAAGTTATAAATAAACCCTAACCACAAAATTGCTCAATTTTGGTTTAATCTGGATAGAATTGAAACACAAACAAGGGAAAGGAAAGCATTTACATAATTGCGCTATTCATCATCGCTAATTAATGGAATCTAAACTAAATACTAAGTAGATCATATCCAAATACACTCCCAAAATAGAAAAATTAAACAAGAAAAGACGAATTTCCAAATAAAGCAACTCCCTAGAACTCTCTCCTTGCTAAGCAACTTATAATGAAGACACCAACAACTTACTTGCCTGCAGAAGAGAGAATCAAAATGGCAGTTGCAAGGCTCCTCTGCTTCGTTTATGAAGCTGCAACAGTGTGTGGGAAAGGGAGGGCAGGCATTCGAGTCGAAATAGTCGGTGTCGGAGTCCCAATCGTCGGGGAAATTGTCATCAGAATCGCCACTAACATAACTAAAAGTTTCGCTCACACTGTCAGACTCATCAAAGGACTCACCAGGCAAGCGGAAACTTTTAATCTTTCCAGAACATAAGAGGTTCATCTGTCCTGCAAAACCTATATGGTAACACCAGCGTAAATCAAGATATTCTAAATGAGGACACCCATCAAGAATGGCCTGCAAGCCCCATTCAGTTAGAAGGTTGCCACGTATCTGAAGGTTACGTAAATTAGGCATATTTTCAGCAATAGCCAAGGCTTCCTCATCCCGTTCAAATTCAGACCGTCTTCTGTTGTAATTAAGCTTCAATGTTTTCAGACGAGGACAACAACATCCAACAGTTGCCAAAGTTTTCAAACAATATGCAGAGCCAGAGATTTCAAGATGTTGCAACGATGGAAATTTCAAAGCTGCTTTAGTGATTCCGTCAGCAGAGATGTCAGAGCAACATACTATCCGGAGTCTTCTAAGTCGTTTTGAGCTGCAACAAATTACATATACAAACCTCAAACAAAATCAAGGAAATAATCGTCACTTATTTCCTAAAATTATGTGTTGAATCGAACATAATAGATATTCTTTAGATTATCTCGGATCCGTAACTGCTAGGAATTTGGCAAAACGACACCAAAGATGTAAAATATTCTCACAACTTTAGATTTATCTTATCGATGTAAATGCAATTCATCTACTGCTATAACATGAACGGAGGTTCAAATTCAATTTTGGTCCAAAAGTTTCAGACTAGCTAGATAGAACAAAAACACCTTAAACAATAATGAATCTAAGCTTGTATGTTTGAAGGCATTGTATAGTGAGTGTATGTACTCGGAAACAAAATCGTAATACGAGCCGAAAACTTAACGACAGATACGAGTATGACAAAATTGCGAAAAACAATTCTAAAAAAGAGGGAGTAGAGAATAAGAACGTACCTCTGAGAGATATGGAGGAGCAAGTCATCGGTGCCGAAGAACTCAATATTGATATCAACCAATTGACCACAGCTAAGGTTAACAGCCTGCATGCACATCATCTCCGCAAAGCGGTCTGTTCTCAACTGCACGCGACTATCCATAAAGTGGATATCGACGACACGCCACAAGAAAGGGTCCTTGCAGATTCTACGCCAGGACGAGCAGACGTTTTGCACGTTGACGAGGATATCAAAGGCGCATAACTTCAGCAGAATCGTGGTCATGAGGTCATCAGGCAGATCAAGCCAGTTAGTCGCCGGCTGTTCGGAGATGGGGCACGACTCCATGGGAGTAGAAACGATCAAACAGAACAGTGTTTTTCTTGGGGAATTTACTCATACCCGGATCAAATATATAGGAAATTATTTGAAATATTGAGGTATGAAATCCACAGATATTTTTTCAAAAATAAAAAATCATATCATCTAACGTAACTTCCTATCATTTGATAACAACAAATCTTGAATAGATTACTTGTTTTAGATAGGTCAAGGATCTTCATTAGTAGTTTTTCCTAGTAATTTTAATTCAATCTACTTAATAACATAAAATATTAACTATTATTAAATAGAAAAAGTTCAAACTAAAGTGAACAGCTCAACAAAAAAAGTTAAGAGAATCAAATCTCTTCACCGAGTGATATTGAATTCCATAATTAAAAAAAAAAAATCTCTCCAAAAAAGATTAGAGAATCAAATCTCAAAACTTTTTACCCCAGCAAGGTATTCAATCTCCAATTTTTCTCAGTCATGCATTAATTTTTTATACTAACTAATTTTAGAATAAATCGTATCCTTTCACACAGTATTTTGAAACTAAATCATAAACGGAAGGATACCAGATCATAAGTAAAAAAAAATCGAAAACATTTCATCTAATCAAAAGAAAAAATCGAAACAAACCAAGTGGAGAAAACCATCAATGAGTAAGCATGGATGATGAATCTACCATCATAAGAAGACAGAGAAGCAAATCACACTAAATACATTTATAAATCAATAGATACCAGATCTGTATCACATGGTTTATGATATGATATAACATTTAGCTTGCCATGTTTGGCCATTCTCTCTCAAGAGTTAGTTGTATATGCGCCTTCAAATGCTTATTTCTAGCAGAAATACAACTGAAATGAGCCGAGTAGGAAAATATACATACATGGCTCACAGTTACTCCACAAGACGACTGCTCAATTTACTGCCTGCAATCGAGTTCAAAAGCCATAGATTGGTTGCAACTTTGGCTGCAGCCGACTTAGCAAGCGACTCGGCATCGGAACGTCTGTAATTGAGAATCTTACTCCTTTCACCTGGATCGCAATGATCAGGAATCTCAAGACTGTAAATGATGAAAACTTGGCAATTAGGTGAAGAACAAGGGGTGTTTTGATTGCTTGAAACTGGTTTTCTAAGCAGAATAGTTCCTCCAGCTGCAGTAACAAGTTGTTGGAGATATCCTTTGTATGAAGGTAAGAAATCCGCTGTAAAGAAGAACTTGAACCCAGAAAAAAGTTTTGCTTGCTGCACAGAAAAAACAGCTGTTAGCTGTTGTTCATAAAAAAGTAATTTCCATCCTACAATTAGTTGTAATTTTAAAATTTATGAAAAGTACGAGAAATAAATTTAAATATTAGAAAATATAAAGACTAAAAGTGGGGATGAAACTCGAAGTACAAAATCAAAACTAGTCTTTTAATCCCCGTGTCATTATTTATATGATACTTCGAACAAACGTTGGTCGTAGTTTTGAAAATTTATTGCCTTGTTGCCAACATTTTGAACAACCCAGCATACTTGAAAATGAAAATAAGAAGTTGAAAACTGTTCAACTTGGATTCAATTATCAAAGGAATTGTGCAGATTAGTTAAGTACATCATTTGGAAACAAATTAAGACTAGCCGTCAAAAACATTAGAACAGTCTAGGATACATTGGGGTGCTTTTATGTTCCATTAAAGTTCTTGATTTAATTTTTTATCTTTCGCTCCTAGTAGAGTTTGCATCTTTTGAGCATTTAGTATCTTTTCATATTCTGAAGGAAATGTTCCAATCAACGGCAAAAGATAACTGAAAATGTTTGAATTCAAAAGGCACAGAAAACGGAATAAGAGTAAAATTTAAGCAGGAATTGAAGTTCTCAAGATAGGATTGCAAGCGACATGAAGAGGTAAATTAAGAATAATGGTCATTACGCAACAATTAGCATTAGCCAAACCCAGCACTCCAAAATGCGATTCACTGCATAACCATACATATATGATAATATCACAACGCATAGGCAAAAGGAACTTACATTGTTCAGGACTCTCAATCTTCCAAGTTGAGGGCCATCTCTGATTCCATGCACATCTAGAGTAATCTCAAAGCGTTCTTCCTCTATTTGCTCCATGGCTTGTATACAAGCCCTAATCCCTGCACATGGACGATGAGCAAGAACGTATCAGATGCAATTTGTCCCATTCATGTTTCACCAGACATGTTTTACATCATTTTTTATAGACAATTTCTTTTCTTAAAGAGGACGAACTATTGTTGTCATCATAAAAAGTAAAGGAAAAAAACAAGAGTAAAACTAAAACATAAAATATCATGTAGGAATAGAACTTACATTTCAGACTCAGTACCCATTTTCCCTTCAAAATGCCCATCAAAATTTTGAAGGTTCTTTTACATGCTTCATTTTCATCTGTTGATGCAATAATATGTGTAACGCTATCATCCCATTTTTGTAACATTGGAACTCCAGATAATCTCTGAAACTCATCAACAGCTTCCTGCAATTCCCATTCCAACCATCAAGACCCTGAAAAATTCACTGTGAAGAAAAAAGTGCGAAATGAATGATATTTGTTTATAAAATGTTACCCTCTCTGCTGTGGTGAGAGCTGAACAGCACAGAACCAATTTCTTAGATGATTCACGAAATGTAAACACTCTACTATTGCTGATCTCACGCGCAACTGCTATACAGTTAGTGTTCAATTGTCTGCAATTGAGAAGGCAACAAACCAAAGCATAGAGGGGATTTCATAAATTCAAATGATGACCGGCCAAGACATGTTTCGAATCAGCAAATATAGACATACCGCTTAGGAGCGCAACTTCTTTTCCGTTCTTGATGTCCCAAACATTGGCTTGGCAGTTTAGAATCTGGATGAAGTGGGCATAACATCACAAAATTTTCCTGCTCAAGCGATCAAACATAAGTTGATGGACATACAGAAAAGACGTGGAACAAA